CCTCAGAGGTGAAAAGGCAAGCGACCGCAGAGCCACGAGAGCACAATGTAATTGCAGCGGCTTTTAATGCATTATTTTAATTTTGTAACGACAATTCAAAATGTTTTCACTCTCTCTAGAGGGCACAGGAAATACTTAAATAATGTTGCCTCTTGTCCACTACGAAATTAATGGATTGGTTACAAGTATAATAAAAAGTCATTTTTCTACTGGCAAGCAAGATTTAAAACATTTTTTTCCTTTTGAGAAAAAAAAAATCCATTAGCAACTTCACAAGTCAAATTTTTCCTACTTACCCCTAAGGAAAAGGCAAAATAAGGAATAATTCGCACCCAACCACAGCACCATGCACCCCAAGCCCATTTTGATAGATTCACCTGAAAGGCAAAGGGGTGCAAGTATTCAATAGTAGTAAGCTTTCTGAGCGTTAAATGATTGATTAAACAAAAAATTAGGTTTTATAAAATAAAACACTTAAATATACCCAATCTTTTTTAATTCAACAAAACTAATACTTTTAATACTTAATTGGAACAAGAATGAAAATTGCTTCCTTGTATTGTAACTACATAGCTTTCCAATACGGAAAATCATACTTATAAAACCTAAAAAACTAATATCAGATGGCTATTTCCAAAACTTCTTTTATTTTTAGAACAATAGAAGGCAAGCATTGTTATTTTTGGATTACGCAGAAATTCTTTATATGCAAAAATGCAAGGCAACTATTAAACTACCAATAACAACTTCCTCAAAGAATTCGATTTCATTCACAGGAAAACCCTTGGTTAATGGAGTTCTGCAAAATGCGAAGAAGACAAGCACCTACACAATGCAGCAGACGAGGGAAACTAGTCAACAAAAACTCATGAAAGGCAGGAGCGTCTTTGAGAAACACCAAATTAGAACACTTACTTTTTGACTGGAGGGCAAAGGACAACTAGCATTACCAGAAAAAGAAATCATCCAGGCAATTTAAAATAAGCATTCCAAGAAGATAAGCACTCTTGTTTGAAAAACCTCTAAAAAGGTGAACTAGGTAAAGTTATTCAAGCATGAATGAAAACCAAAATCAGACTTCTGTAAAAGAAAATATAACATTGTTTCCAAGATCATGATAATGTTACAAAGGTCCTCAATAAGAGAAAGCACACCAAAATATTGTAACAGAAGGACTACAAGGGAAGACCTAGAAAAGCCAGAAATTTGCTACACGATGTGATTTTAAAATTTAAAATCTTTTGTTAAAACATATTCTCTGATAAAGTAGAATAACAAGCTAGAACCACTTAACTAAGATGCGAATGCTGGTTTTCTTGATCCCAATACATTAAATTTTACGGCATTCTCTTTTTCACGTGTTAAGAGAACTCCGCTAGAAGTTTCCTGTGTACAATAGTTAGAAATTGCTTTTATAGGAGTTCATTTCGCCCAAACATGGTTTGAGTTTTGTTACATGACAAATTTTCCCACGTGAATGACTCATTAGTTTTTACTGACCACCCCGTGACAAGGCTGAATCAAGGGATTCCTGTAAAAAGGCCCTTTCATTATCAACCAGACAGACAAACAGGAACATGAGTGTGTGCAGTGCAGTATTTGGTAAGGATTACAGCTCATCATCTAAATGGCAATGCGCAAAAGCAGTAAAGAATAGGATTTCAATGCAATGCAATTTTTGTCCTGTAGTCAGAAAGTACAAGTATATTTTTGTACAATATATTTTTCCCATGTTCTCTTAATTGGGAGCAATTTTGCCCAATATTTGTTAATGCATTTCCCATTTACACCAGTTCCCACCTATAAGACCAAAAGCTATGCCCTCAGATATCTCTTATGGCAGGTTTCTACTGTGTGTTTTAGTCAGTTTCTGAGTGACTAGTAAATATTTTTAACAAAGGGAAATGTTATCAATTTGAAATACTATGTGACACGCTACAGGATCCCACGAAAAAGAAAGTAAAATTCTTGAAAATTCACTGTTCTAATGACTGGGAGCATTGGGTTAAAGGAAATATAAATAGCTAAAAGATGGTTTGCAAGATTTACGAGGATATCCTGAACAATAAATATAGGATATCAAGCAAAAGCGAAAAGGATATCAACAAAACTGAAGTACTGTTTAATAATCCTTAACTAGTTAAATCGAATTGTACTAGAGTTCACAATGCTTTGGAAATAATGACATGCCCAAAAAACCACTCAAGTTATTTTCATTAACTCTAACTTCTTTTTTTTTTCATTTTGGAATAAGTTTAGTTATATTTATTTTCTTCTTCAGATAATTGATTTATATTTATATATATAACTACACCTGAACTTTTACAACTCCAGTTTTCAACATTTAACAGAAAATTTCATTTTGGCACTAAAAGAGGAGGCAAAAAATAATCTGACATTTTCAACAGAAGAAAGAAATTTGGAATTCAATAACTTTCAATCACAGAACCTCAAATCTAAGAAATGTACTTTACCTTAACACTGCAGGAACCTATTCTACTCATAAACACGTAAATGTTTTAACGAACATACCTTCATGTGCAACCAATCCTGATTCTGCTGATGACCGCACTACAGCGCCAGAAACAAGAAAGGCAAAAGTTAGAAAAGAATCCGTGCAGATTTAGTCATCTGTTAAGTGTACATGCAAGTTCCTACACCTCCTCTAATATGCCTGTCAAAAGAACTAATTATGAAATGTAAATAATAGCATGTAAAGTAAGTATAAGTGAATAAGATATTCTCTCAGCTAATTATGACAATTAAGAAGCAAAGGACATATCAATGCAACAAAAATTACATACTTTACAATTTCACATAAAGCATGGTTTACAAACATTTGAACCAAGAATTACATTTATAAAACACAACTGTTAAAATTTCCATACCCAACACTCCCATCACCATGATTGTACTACAACAATAGATGTAATGGACAACACAGCAGGAGGAATCTTACATAGGAATATTACAAAGCTAAATTCAATGAATATTGGAAATGTTTCAAATCATCAAATTTCAACAAAATAAGTAAGGATCGCGACTCAAACCAAGTCTAAATTTGAGTATCTTGCCTTTACTTTCACCAGAAGAAATACACGATATTTCAAAGCCTAGCTTCAAATACATTTTTGGGAATGAAGTTACCAAATACACGATATACACGACATCCTAATACCCTAAATATGCAATATAAATTTCAGAAAGTTCATTCTGTGTATTTGATGAATATCCATGCAAAAAAACCAAACGAGATGGAAATTTTCGTTTAGAGAGAGGCATGTTGCATATGAAAGAATGACAATACAGCATACTGTCTTCTAATTTCATACTTTCAATTTTTTTTTTTTTTTAGAAAATACCAACTCTTCTGTTAGCAGATAACATTACATCCTATGTTCTATTATGTTGTGCTATAATTTCTCCTACAGGTCAGAACATCAGTGGACAAATGTTAAATGCTTTAGAGGAACTTGTGAGTGCAGGAAAAACGAAATAAGATGACAATCTCAGAGAAAGATGGAACACAATATCATTCTCCTTTCAGATTTGATTTGTTATTCAATGAAATGTAAAATGTAGATGTTTTAGAACATTAATTATTAACCAAGATAAGATGCAAAAAAGCATGGCTTGATTTCTGGCATAACATGATGGAAATAGCATGATGGTACTTCGAGAATAGTTATTAAATTATATTACAAATATATCATTATATCTATTAAAATTAATAATTAATATGGAGTGTGTTTCAGGACCTAAAATTCTATAAATCAAGCCTGCAAAAAAGTATTTAGGAGACTAATATGCAAGTTTTATGAATGCAGTTTTTCAATGTCATTAATCAAAAAACAGGATTTTTTATACAATATAATAATCCTTTTTGTGACATTTCAACTCTTCCATTTACCTTCATGTGTACGCAATAATAAAAACAGAATAAAATTTTCTGCCCTTTTTGGTCTGCACCTTTCAGATCCCTATGACTTTTTCATGTCAAATGTTCTTTTCATCTTAGTAAGACTTATATTCCCTGATTAAAAAATCACTTTTACACATTTCATCTTGTAAATAATAAGGGGTTAACATGGAGTCAGAATTTTCAAATGAAAAGAAAAACACATGTGCAATGCAAATTACAATGTTCCCAAGCAAGTATTCGATTACCTAAAACCCAGGGAGAAAAGTATAAAGGAAACAAATAACATAGAGGCCAAAAATCATCCCTTTTGTGTAAAAAAAGACTCTCCAGATGCTGTCAACCATAATGATACTGCAGCAGTTGTGCAGAACTTCACAAATCTTGAAGATTATATTTGTTTCCTTTCTCATTACAGATGTCCTGGCACCTTCTTTATGAGAACTAGCATCTGTCATTTGTCATTGCATACTGGTCCGGAAAATTATTAAGAATTATTACTGGAAACATCAGGTCAAAAGAGACAGGTCAGAACAAAGCAAGGACAATGAGGTCTGTCTAACAAAAAGACTGCACTCCTCTAGTCTAAATTAAATTCAACAAATGACAAAAGGCACAATCATCAGCTACCAGAGATAAAACATATTCATCTGCAAGGTAAATATCCTTTATGTCTCAAAGTGTGTCCTAATCTTATCAAACATGCTTCATTGCCAATCTCAGGGATATAAAGAAAAAAAAAAGCAACTGTATTACCAGTAGACAAAACAAGACTTTCACATAAGCAACAAAGGAGGCAAAATTTGTGTGCGAGTATTTATTAGGTACATCCTGTTGTCTTTATTCTTGTAAAATAAAATCCATAAATAAAACTTGAATGGATGAATGTTTTTTCATTACTTCATTTACTTTCAGGATAGACAGATCTTATAAAGACTTCACACCATGAGTGTCAAAATTAATTTGGACCACTGCATTTTTCTGCTTACCTACTTTATAATAAAATTAACAGATACTAAAATCATTATGTTTTCTTTCCATACCAAGAAATGACAATTCAACTGAAGGGAAAAGCATGACTTATATGAATATTAATTATATTTGACTATTTCACTCATTCTGTGAATGTTTTTGTTGAAAGATTCACTCGCTGTCGTATCGTAAGTAACCAATGAGAAGCAAGAATATATTCAAATTAAATCAATCCCAGATGTTTATCACCATAAATTTATCATTTTGTTTACCTTTTTCTCTCTGCTGTAATCACTTTGTTTACCTTTCTGATGTTATCGATAGTAACTGTTTGAGGTTCATAATTGCATATGAGTGTCAATATAATTTTAAAATATATGTTGCTTTGATAATGTTTAAAACTCTGAAATATATTATTAAAGAGTCAGCACCGAAAAACAGCAAAAGAAACAGAGAAAGTATGTGGAAGCAATTTTTAAAATTTTGTGAAGAAACAAAATACAAATGGGCAGCACAAACTACAAATGAAGAAATTACATATATTTTAGGCAATTAATATACGAAAATTAGATGGCAAGAGTACAAAGAATATGCTATCAAAACTACATGGAACATTACAACCAAAATTATTCAGAAAAATACTTTGAAGACTACATATGTGTGTTCAATCCACTTTAAATTGACAAATTCCACTCCTGATTCAGCTTGTACATCATCCATTTCAAATACTTCTAAGAAACTCCAAGGCATGGAAAACTCAACTTCCTACAACTTTAATAATTGTGTTTTTAATGAATGCTCTTGTAAGTAGCTTTGTTATAATTGCTTTTAATGCTTTTTTACCATAAAATCGAAATATGATGGAAATTATTTTCTGCATTAAACTGTTATTCACATTTTGCTTGATAAGGTATTCCAGGAGGCAGTGAGAACTCAGAGCTTAACGAATGTTTCAAATATTTCAGTAGCAATTTTGAGTAACATCTCTCATTTTAGTAATTTGTGATTTTAATTATCCATTTGTTTCTCTACGATTGATAAACACATATTAATAATCTTATTTCCTTTCAAATTTGAACTGTAACTTCAACATGCTAGTAAAATTCTTTGTGCCAGAAATTTGCAATTGATTGTTTTTAGCTATATTCTGACGATTTGAATGTGCCTATACATATTCAAATTTAATACTGTCTAATCTATTACTCTGAAGTCATTGTGGGAACAAAAACACTCACTGAAGACATGTGGACTAGAAGACATCAGATTAACTCTGTCTCTATAATATCACTCATGTATGCTAGCTAATCAGTAACAGCAAATATAAGAAAACCAATAGATTTAAAGAAGAAGTATACTGAAAAATGAAAAATTATTACTGAATTTCTGGGTTCTGCATAAACAGATTTTTTTATTTTTATTTATAAGACACTATCTTTTTAAAAACCAAAACAAAAAATAAGTACATAGGTTCATAACCACACATAAAATGCAATTCCAATGCCTGATTGGACCAACAAATAAACATGATTACCAGCATCGCCTTCCCACATAAACGATCACGCCAGACTGCAGCGACACTGTCAAATCTTCCCACACAAACAACAAATGGAAACAATAATAATACAGAAATTATAACTTACCTGCACCAGTATCCTTTACCAAAACCTTCTCAGACAAGCTCATTTTATTAGAGCTAGATGCTGTACGAATAGATGAGTACAGTACACACAACATCCAAATCACAAGCCCCACAATACTTTGGGCATCAAATGTAACTCTGTTTTTATCTTTCTCTGAAGGGACGAAAGCAAAGAAGCCAGGATTGCATTCTTTATCTGAAAAATGCAAGTCTTCATGTATACTTTGTAAGAGGTTTTCATAATTGTTACTTCTACAATATTCTAAAATAAATGTTTAAAAACTAAGTACACAGGATGCAGCGTGAGTCATCTGACTGTTGCTTTGTGGTCCATTGTCATATTGGTAATTTAATAATACCAAAACCTGCATGGATTAGTGTAAAGTTTTGGAAGGACTAGTTTGTTATCAAAACAAGACTATCGAAGACTTGGTATCGTTCTTGCATTTGTTGTTATTCATTGTTGATTAGAAACATTTACATGAATAGAAAATTAGCCACAGAACAGTGTGTACAGATGTGGTAGAAATTTGATTGAAATTATGAAAGACGTAAGATGATCTTTCTTTGCAAAGTTCGCACACATACTGCCACTATGCAGGCAAGCTATTTACAAATTAAATCAAAAGAAAGAGGCAACATATTCTTTAGCGGATTTGCCATGTAGTGTCTACCAAAATTGTTACTGAAGAAAATCTTCAGATTGTTGTAGGCATTCATTCAATCATCCAAGAAATTTAAGGAATTACAATTTTCTGTCAGCAGTTTAAGGAGAATGTTAAAAATTATACATGCAAAACCTTTCAAGCTTACATTACTACATGCCCTAATCGAGAATGATCCTCATCGAAGCTATGAATTCTGCAAGAGCTAAGTGATTTACAGTGAATGTGATCACTTTTTCAAAACAATTCTGTGGGCTGATAAAGCAAGTTTTCAGTTAAATGGAAAAGTTAACGAATAAAATTGTGTGTATTGGTCTTCTGAAAATCCATGATTTGTTATTAAGGTGGAGTTAAACATTCCTGGAGTTGCTGTTTAGGCAGCAAAGGGTTGATACATTTACATTTTTGATGGGACTGTGACTGAAAAGGTATCATGAAATGTTAAGAGGTGTTGTGATTGAATTACGCAATACTCCTGTACTTAATGCAGTACCAAACATCCTTATTAGGCAACAAGACAGTGCTCTGCCACACTACAGATTCAGTCCATTCATTTTTACATGACAATTCTGAAGAGTGGATAGGATGGTGGGGTAAAATTGGCCCCCAAGATCATCAGCCCTCACACCATGTGATTTTTCCATGTGGGTGATACTGAAGGACAAATTTACTCTACAAAACCATGAAACATACAGCACATAAGGGATTTGATTGAAGAATAATTTGGAAACGTTTTAGGTAACAATGAGGAGTAGCGTGACAAAAATTTAAATGATGTCTTAACTGCCTAAATAACAATGGAGGTTACTTTGAACAGTTTAATAAGATAAATTACTTTGTATAAATCATTAAGCTACAATACACTAATTTTGGTTAACTCCCTAATGCTGCACCCGTATATTTGTATTAAAAAAATTGAATCTTATATATACAAGAGAAAATGCACCCAAAAATTTGATTTTAACAGAGAATGCATTTAAAGTGTGGGTGCCAAAGCACAATAATAAGCAAATTCAAATATAATACAACTAGGGGTTACATTTGATCGAAGAATTCTTAAACATAATAAATGTTCATGAAATTTAAAAGCTTAAAAATACATCATTCTACATAATTTATTCTGTTTTCTGTTTGCAACAGGAGTGAGCACATTACTAGATTTCAAGAAAGAACAAAGGTACAACTTTCAATATATTCACTGGTTTACCTGGGTTATTTGCCACTGCTGACCATGTCAAATATATCATGTACAATGATACAATGGAGGACTGCAGCAGTCCAGATTTAGGTTGCACCTCCTGGACACTTGGCAGAATGGACATAATGCTTACAACCACACACAGAATGAGATTCACAGAAATGAAGGTCTTGCTCGCAGTACAATCTCCAGGCTGCAAGGACAATCAACAATTGAAAAAATTAGAATGAAGACTAGAACAACAAATTTATTGAAATGTCTTTGCAATGAAGAATATATACAAGTCATTCCACATCAAATCACAGCCATTGAACATTTTTATTTTTTAACTAATATATTGTATAAATAAATCTAGGCATACAAAATAAATCACTTTTTGTCATGAAAAGTAATTAATTGAGCAGTAATGTCTCATTCAAATCTTTCAATTTATGAGCAATTTGCAAATAAAATTGATGCTCCAAGAATACATACCACTAAATTTCCACGTTCAAGTCATTTCAAACATTAAATAGTACCTTTTATTTCTCTATAAATAAATTTCACAAAAAATCATTTCATTCACATGTTTTATATTTTATTTTCACAATTATCTTTTTGAGCTAAATACACACTCTAGGGCAAACCATTCCCACCTCCTTACTAATGAAGTAAATACTAACTCAAGTCTTTGATCTAAGTGCTGAGAAGCAATAAAAAGGATGACCATATCTCTGATGGTTTGGATGATATATTATCATCTCACACATTTAAATGCTGAGAAAGAATGGGAGGACATGCTGTATTTTTTCTCAGTGAAATTATGCAACTTCTGGGTCCCTTTTGCATCCCAGGGATAAGCCACCCTCCTGACCTTGCTTGTGAAAAGAGCAAAAGACCAGAACTAAGGGTCTGGAGGAAATTTTTTATCACTTGATCTGCATACATCATGTCAGAAAATGTGTGAAAATAAATACTATGCAACATGTTTTGTTTGAGGTGAGATCACCATGTAATAATAGTTAAATCCATTTAATATTGATCATAGTTTTAAAAAAAGATAAACTAAGTTGCACAAGCCACAATTTACAAGTGAAACTCAATTTATATATGAATTGAACATATGAATTTGTTATTCCTGACAGAAAATAGTAAATCATCCTTCACCTAACAGGACTGTACAATAAACGGAGGATTACAGTTGATTGCAGAGTAAGCTCAGCTAGTTAACTGCAATATTCGAGTCATGCAATTAATTTCTTCTATAATTTGAGAAGACAGAGTGCACATATCGAAGCTTCCAATTTGTTGTTGCTTAGGTTACACCACTAGCCACACAATTACAAAATGTCATACACCTTCTAATTTTATTTGCAGTGTAATATATTCAGTTCAAGCTAAGCACTAGAACAATAACCAAGATATTAAATTACAGTCTTTTTCAAAGATGGTGAAGAAATTTATGTCAAAAGTTTTGTTGTAATTACATTTTCAGTATGAAATGATAAATGTTAAAACCAGAATTTGGTAAAACAAACAAAATTGTTCATTTCTCTGATTAATCAAATGCAATAGAAAACTAAGATTTGAAAAAAAAAGCCTCCATTGCCTCTAGGAAAATTTTAAGGTTTGTACAGAATTTTTGTGGATTTTTTTATATTTCATAATACAAGACCATATATTGACTTTACAGAAGCTGTTGAGAGACTTTTGAGTTGAGCCAGCCTACAACCTGAACCAGATGCAAATACTGCATGTAGAACTAAAGGTCAGGTCAGACAGAAATATTTCAAGGATTTTATTAATTTTCAATTACACAAAAGGTTTGGACTCTTAGGTCTTTCACTCTAATTACACAGCCACACACAAAAGAAAATTGTGTTCATGCTGGGGGTTGGACCATTTTTGGGGTCATTAAATTCCAATCCAGAGTCCATTTTCCTCCATCACAACAGGGTTATGACATAACCTCGAAGAAAAAGAAGAAAGAAAGAAAGGAAAGAAGAAAGAAAGAAAGAAAAGGAAGGAAGAAAGAAAGAAAGAAAAGGAAAGAAAGAAAAGGAAAGAAAGAAAAGAAAAGGAAAGAAAAGAAAAGGAAAGAAAGAAAAGGAAAGAAAGAAAAGGAAAGAAAGAAAAGGAAAGAAAGAAAAGGAAAGAAACAAAAGGAAAGAAACAAAAGGAAAGAAAGAAAAGGAAAGAAAGAAAAGGAAAGAAAGAAAGAAAGAAAGAAAAGGAAGAAAGAAAAGGAAAGAAAGAAAGAAAGAAAGAAAAGGAAAGAAAGAAAGGAAGAAAGAAAGGAAGAAAGAAAGGAAGAAAGAAAGGAAGAAAAGGAAAGAAAGAAAGAAAGAAAAGGAAAGAAAGAAAGAAAGAAAGAAAGAAAGAAAGAAAAGGAAAGAAAGAAAGAAAAGGAAGAAAGAAAGAAAAGGAAGAAAGAAGGAAAAGAAAGAAAGAAAGAAAAGAAAGAAAGAAAGAAAGAAAGAAAAGAAAGAAAGAAAAGGAAAGAAAGAAAAGGAAAGAAAGAAAAGGAAAGAAAGAAAAGGAAAGAAAGAAAAGGAAGAAAGAAAAGGAAAAAAGAGAGAAAGGAAAAAAGAGAGAAAGGAAAAAAGAAAGAAAGGAAAGAAGAAAGAAAGAAAGGAAAGAAGAAAGAAAGCAAGGAAAGAAGAAAGAAAGCAAGAAAAGAAAGAAAGAAAGAAAGAAAGAAAAGGAAGAAAGAAAGAAAAGAAAGAAAGAAAAGGAAGAAAGAAAGAAAAAGGAAGAAAGAAAGAAAGAAAGAAAGAAAAGGAAGAAAGAAAGAAAGAAAAGGAAAGAAAGAAAGGAAAGGAAGAAAGAAAGAAAGAAAGGAAGAAAGAAAGAAAAGGAAGAAAGAAAGAAAGAAAAGGAAGAAAGAAAGAAAGAAAGGAAGAAAGAAAGAAAGAAAGGAAGAAAGAAAGAAAAGGAAGAAAGAAAGAAACAAAAGGAAGAAAGAAAGAAAGAAAAGGAAGAAAGAAAGAAAGAAAAGGAAAGAAAGAAAGGAAGAAAGAAAGAAAAGGAAGAAAGAAAAGGAAAGAAAGAAAAGAAAGATAGAAAAGGAAGAAAGAAAGAAAGAAAGAAAAGAAAGATAGAAAGAAAAGAAAGAAAGAAAAGAAAGATAGAAAGAAAAGGAAGAAAGAAAGAAAGAAAAGGAAGAAAGAAAGAAAGAAAGAAAAGGAAGAAAGAAAGAAAAGGAAGGAAGAAAGAAAGAAAGAAAGAAAAAGAAGAAAGAAAGAAAAGGAAGAAAGAAAGAAAAGGAAAAAAGAAAGAAAAGGAAAGAAAGAAAAGGAAGAAAGAAAGAAAAGGAAAGAAAGAAAGAAAAGGAAAGAAAGAAAAGGAAAGAAAGAAAGAAAAGGAAAGAAAGAAAAGGAAAGAAAGAAAAGGAAAGAAAGAAAGAAAAGGAAAGAAAGAAAGAAAAGGAAAGAAAGAAAAGGAAAGAAAGAAAAAAGGAAAGAAAGAAAGAAAAGGAAAGAAAGAAAGAAAAGGAAAGAAAGAAAGAAAGAAAAGGAAAGAAAGAAAGAAAAGGAAAGAAAGAAAGAAAGAAAGAAAGAAAAGGAAGAAAGAAAGAAAGAAAGAAAGAAAAGGAAGAAAGAAAGAAAGGGAAGAAAGAAAGAAAAGGAAGAAAGAAAGAAAGGGAAGAAAGAAAGAAAAGGAAGAAAGAAAGAAAAGGAAGAAAGAAAGAAAAGGAAGAAAGAAAGAAAAGGAAGAAAGAAAGAAAGAAAAGGAAAGAAAGAAAAAGAAGGAAAGGAAGAAAAGGAAAGAAAGAAAGAAAAGAAAGGAAAGAAAAAGGAAAGAAAGAAGAAAGGAAGAAAAGAAAGTGATCTGAATTTTAAAAAAAATCATTATGATGGGGTAAAATAGACACTACTCAGATTTAGTGACCCCAAAAACAGAGAAAACTTGGACTGAGCCCCAGGCTCAGACACAATTTTTTAGGTGAGTCTGTGTTATCAAAAATTAGCTCGAGCAAAACAATCTTTCGATGGTAAACAAGATATATTTGAAATAAATTGTGGATGACAAGAAAACTTTAAATATCTACATAAAATGTCAAGAATCTTTATTGTATAACTAACTACATATGTGAAACTTACTGCACTTCAGGAGCATCTACAGTAAAACTTTCCCTCACCTTTTGCAGGGGATTGAAGGGAAAAATGTATAAATGAGAACAACGCATAACTGAAATTGAATATTAAGAAGACAATAAAAATTCAATATTTTTACACTACGTCTTATTAGAAAAGATATTGTCAAAAAAGAATTCAATATGGAGTTTAAAAAATTACTAATGAAAAAATTCTGTTTTCTTGGTGGTTAACATTATAATTCGCCTATATGGTGCAAAAGTGCACAAAACATGTTCCATGATTAGGTGATAGTCTTAAAATCTTTATAAATGGGACTCTAAAGTCTTAAAATTAATTATTAATTTATATATTCTGTTTTTATTTAAAATGTTATTGACATTGCAATGTGCGATTTATATGTTTAAAAATGTCAAAAAATGTAGGTTTTTCGGAAATTAAATTTATCCAGTCTCCAGTTCCCTTTCCACAGCAACTCTGAATTTTTTAGAAGTCCTGCTGCCGCAGGTGGCTGGGAGTAGACTTAGCGCTACCACCCCACGGTCTCGCGTGGTCTCAGCCCCTCTGCTAGGCCGAGTCGAGCTTCTGTATTACAAGTTTCATTAACGGGAAGTCGGCTCCGGGGCCGAGAGGTCGCTCCGCAGAAGCACTCTGGAGCGCGCCGACTCGAATACAATCCCGGGCAATCAGCGGACGTCTCCCGTGCCTTACCCGTACCCTCTGCGGAACATTTGAACGTTATACGGTCTTAAAGGGGCTTTTATTATGAATGTATAAGTGTGAAAAATGTATAATCGTAAAACGTACATCTAAAATAATTTAGAATGAAAATTATAAGAATTTATATGGGACTTGCTGGAGGGAAAAAAACGTTCATTCGACTCCGGTTATAGTGAAACATTAACAGAACGAACTGAAATTTCAACATCTTTATTTGTCCTTAAAAAATCAATTATTTTCAATTTTTTGCTTCGTACATTTTTCTTTAGTAATTTCTCTAGATTTTTCTCGAGTTCGTGCTCTCTCCCTACTTGATTCTGCATTGTCCTCTGTGTCTAAGTATCGTGATGCCAGAAGTACCTTGGCACGTTTCAATACCTCTTGCATTGTTGGAACAGCGTCCCACTCTCCGAAGGCCCGCTCGCCTAACAACACAGGAGATTCTTTCGGTAGCGGGATGGCGCAAGCGGCAAATCAAACGGATCGCTTTTCCGCGCGGCACGACGGATATTACCAGGCTGCGGCAGACGCGAGCTTCCTGTCGACTACGTAGAACTCGACGCGCTTTGCCCCGCGGAATATCTTGTAGCACCAAGATTGATATTGAAGTAAGCAATCGCGCGTCGCCGCCGCCAGGTGTAGCTCACGCAGGGCGTGGCGTTTGTTTCCGCATTCCGAAACTGAGAACCTTAGGGTCATCAGTAAGGTACCCATTCCCGGTCCGCTACCTTCATCTCAGGGAGACTTCTTCGATTACGATTGGCCGACAATATTGTTTTAAGCTGCACGGTGTTGGAATTTGTGGAATTGGGGCGATATATATACGGAATTAATTTCCAGGACGGTATATTTATTAGGTTCACTATAGCTGAGGTTCAGGTTCACTATAATAATCTTCTTATGCTTATTTGTAATGTTACTTATGTTGTACAGTGAAGCGGGACCAGTGACTTACGTTCACTGTAACCGAGGCCTTACTCTATCCAAGTTCACTGTAGTGGGAGACGAAGTGCGAAACGTATAAAAGGAATTTCACTGCACATAATTTCATCTACCAAATAACTGGCCAGTAACACAAGACACCTGTCTATTGGCACCAATTGGTTTGTAATAAAAGTAATTTGAACATAGTGCACACTGATACGTAATAATAATTTTCATTAAAGTAACACAGCGCGCTGCGATCGTGTAACGGTTATCGTATCGGACTGTTGTACCCAAGTAGGCCCGATCGAAACCGAGGATTTTTAAGGGCGAAAAAAATCCTTCGTAGGCCTTTCTTCAGAGGGGAAGTAAAGTCGGCTGTCCCATGTTAGTAGATTTGCTTGCATGTGAAAGATCCTTAAGTCTAAATGACGCCTCTGAGCTAAATTCAAAATCGCCTGTTTCTCGTCCAAGGAATACCTCCTTTCTCTGCTGGTTGGTGAATGGAGCGAATTTGCATGGTCAGACGGAAGAGCAGGCCTCATAGCCTGAGTCTCGCCACGTAAAATAAGGCTTCAATTCAATACAGATCACATTTTGATTTGTTTTGTAGTTGACAAACATACTCTAGCATGCTTTTAAATATTTTATGAGAATTTTTAAAACACTGAATTTACAAAAGTAAATAATTATTGAAAATATATTTAAATTTTATAGAAAAATTAATTTATATAATTTTTTAATAAAACCTGTTTTTGTAAAAGCTTAAAAAACACTAGTTTTATTAAAAAATGAAAAATATTATTTTTTTGAACTTTCAGATAGAACTGAATAAGTCTTTATCATTTATGTATTGATTTTATGATCCTTTGAAGTTAGTGATGCATTTTTAGTTACGATCTCATTCTATGACAAACTCAACAGGCACTATTTCCAAAAGTAATAAAGTGAAAAGAAAATAAACACACCCAAGTTAACTTATTTGACCACAAAAAAGTAAGAAAGCAATAAAAAAAAAATATGAAGATTAAATTTTGGTAATTTCTGTGCGATTTGATGTGCAATGGTTCACATTAGGTTTTCAGATAAACACATGCTTAAAAATGTTTTGGATAACATACCTGTGTGAAATAAATGTAAAGAAGTACCACACCAGTAATGGTTAAACAGTAGTTTAATAAAGTACAAAATAGTAATGCACAGTACCTGTCAATATGAAACAAATGATAAGTACAAAATTAACAATTTACCCCAACCTTTACATTTAATTTAAAGGCAAACAAAAAAATTCAATTTAATTTGCTTAATTATTTGAAAATGTTAAGTGAATACTGAAGTAACACACATTGTTCATTCATCACAATCCAGTCTATTTTATTTCATACGTTCTCCATACAATAAGTCCACTACCTCTGGCCTACCCACAAGCCTCACTCTACAGTGAGTACCAACAAAACATCTTCACTTTTATTTTATTTTATAAGGATTTCTTTTACAAAATAAAATTAATAATCATACTGATAACATTATAAACTCTAGTATACAATGACTAAAAAAAAATAAAAAAAGGAATACAGTATCATGATTAAATGATAAAAGGAAAAAAACATTTGTAAATAACAAAATTATCTAAACTTGAAGTCATCTTCACATTTTTTCTAGGTCTTGCATCCAGCATTGATTGAAGAATTGAAACAATTGGTATTGTGATTTGTAATGGTTCTTGATTCTTTAAAGTTTTGCCATTGTCAATGTTATATCCGATGGTGATGAAATATCATTGGAGAGAACATTTTTCACTCAAGCTTTGTTGTTTGTCCTGGGAATAGTTTCACATTTACAACATTGCATTTGTAGTTTACCATCTTTCCACCTCAATGATATAATCTTTGTCTTTACGTTTATCTTGAATGACCCCTTGTGCCCATTTCAAGTCTTTACCAGAGTGCACTTGCACTGCTATGGTCTGACCGATTTCCAACTCAAGTGATTTTTTCATTTTATAGTCGTAATATTTGCTATTCTTCTTGGTCGTTTCTATTTTGATCTGTACATCTTCCACCACCTCAGGCTTTAGGTTTTTGTAGTAATCGGTAAACACGTTCTGGTTCTTTTCACAAAAATTCTCTGCGTGAGATTAGATCCTATTTTATTCGAGGTATTTCTCCCATGTAGCAAAATATACCAAGGTCTTCACCACTCTCCTCAGTGTTTTTAATTAATCTCTTTACTATCTTCACTGTAGCTTTTGCTTTACCATTCTCTCTCTAGTGATATGATGCTGATGTTACAAACTCAAAATATCAAACTGTACAATTGTTTATTGTCAAACAGTAAAATGTGGCCAACCATTTTTTTCATAATCTACTAGTTTCTGCAATGTTAAATCATTTTTCAAGTATGATCTAATTTCAACTCCCTCAGGTGATGTCAGTAACAATTTCTCCATATCTATCTTCTCTAATTTGGTGAATCCTTTTTAGCTCGAAAGTTTTTTATATTTTAGTTTTTCTTTTATGTAATCATTTCAAACCAATGCCCTTGATACAGCGTCAGCAACTACATTCTCTTTTCCTTTCACAAATTGTACTTCCAAGTGATATCTTTATAATGACATCAACATTAGCTGTAGCCTTTTAGGAGCACTAAATAAGAGTTTCTTGAAAATTGTAATTAAGAGCTTGTGATATGTTTTTATTACAATTTGTTGACTAGCAGCTAATAGTAAAAAATATTGCAGTGTTATTGTGCTCCTGAGTAACGATTCCTTCCTTCACATCATTTCTGAGACTGATGATATCTGAGACTCTTCTTGCTGGTTGAACTTCTCATTCACTTCAGGAGAAACTTCTCCAGGCAATAACCCAATATCATTGAAAACTGACTGATGTTCTTTTAGTAGAGAGGTAGCTACTTTGCATCCCTCTTCCAATTCTCTCAATCCTTGTCTGCATTTACTTTAAAGCCATATTAAACCAATCCCAACCCAAAGCCAATCTAACCAATTCCCTCTGATAATAAAGGGCCATGATTAACACTAACCACAAGAAATGTGAGAACGAATTGTTTCTCCTTTCTCTTACAGAGGATATCTGCTTCATCCAAAACTTCAACAAGTTCTCCACCAAAATTGTCAAACTGTTCCAAAGAAGTTTTAAATTTTGGTGCAGCTCAAAAAGATCTACTCCAGTCCTATTCTTCCTTCCATGGTTTGTGATGGATTCCAAATTGAACACACTTAGTAAGTCATCCTTAAAATACGATTCACAACTGCTAACATCCGAAATTCCTTCCCTTTAATTAAGTTCTTTAATGGATTTGTGTTTCCCATTCACATTGTCAGCACCATTTTCCTTTTTATTCTCATTTTTCATACAAACTCTCAGAACATGTCTTCGATCTTGACAAATAACACACATTTTGCCCCAAGCTGGACATAATTCTTTTCTGAAGTCGTGTTTACCACCACAGAAGGGACATAATTGAAAACTACTAGCTGATTTTTTTGTGGAATCTTTTTCTGGTAATCTTATGAACTAATTTATCTTTGTTATAAATATGCTTCACATGCAGCTCTGAAAGTTCACTGGCTTTACAAATTTGAACCAACTTTTCAACATTCAGTGAGTCAGGATTTTTGCGAAGGCACTTTTTTTATATTGGTATCTCTAATGGCGAAAACCAATCGATGTCTCAAAATATCATCATATGTGACTTTCCCATTGTATCTGCAAAGGGCAAGGGCTTTTCGTACTCTAAGAAAAAAAATACACTAATGATTTATCCTCTAATTGGTGACAAGTATGAAATTGTCGTGAACTATACTGAAATATGAAAGGTTCCTTTCAGATATCAAATGTTCATCAATTGTTTTCAAAACAGTCTCAGTATTGTTTTTTTCTTTGTCCTTCAAGAGAAAATTTGAATATCTCCAATAACTGATAATAAAACATTAATTTTCCTGTGTTTGAGATCATTTGGCCACATATTGATACCCATGCCACTAAAATAAGTGAACCATCTTTCTGTAAAAAGTTTTAAGTTTTTGAATATGTCACCTGTTTTGACATTCAATCATTATGAGCAAAGTATATTCTGAATTATAAATATGAATAATAAGCTGAATTTATTCTAGAAGAGAATTCTAAAATAGTGTTGTGCTTCTGGTACACTAAATGGCTATAATGTTCTTAGATTTATGTGCTCATACTTCATTAATATATTGTAACTGTTGTATATTTTTATCAGTCCACATCTTTTTGGTATTCTCTCAAAAACTTTCACAATAGGTACAACAGATCATTAAATTTTGCTCTGTAGAAATCCACAACAGTATTGTAACAGGAAGGATTTCCAGTTCAATATAATTACTATATTAGTTTCTCTTTAATCTACCAAGAAGTACACAGTGAAATGGAAACAAAACTACAGTGATAAGTAGTAAGTTAGTCTTTAAGTTAACAGAGAAACAAATTAAGACCCCCCCTCCCCAACATATTTTAATAAATAGTTAATTAATAATTAATAGTTGAGAAGGCAGTCAATGAAGTTCAACAAATCTTACTGGCACATGTGTCTAACTTCAAATACATGTGAAAATATTAGCAACATTTCTTAAACTATAGTGTTATAAAAAAATAACCTTTGGATAATAATAATAATAATATCCATTAGTATTCACACAATAAATTATGGAGTGGCTCAAGATTAAAATTATGTTAACAAATTCATCAGTCCTAAACTTACCATCCTTTAGATTCTGTTTCTTCATACTTCCCCACCCAATTCTCAGCCCATGAGTGAGCAAAATCAACTATGAGAATCATTTGAATAAGAATGAAAGCCAGACCACCAATCATTCCAAACCACATCCAGGTGGTACCAAAGCTCCCTTCAGGAATAAAGAACGCACCCACAACTCCACCGATAAGTAGGAGATACTTGATTCCCCAAAATCTTTAACAAAAAGAAATTAACCAATGAATACTCTTAAAAAAAAAATAACATGATTAATAATATATTGATAACTAGACATTGAAGAGAAAAATATTGGTTACACAATGGGCAATAAGAAACCTACCCATTCTGAATTCCTGCCCGAGGATCTTTCGAAGACTTCACATTTATCATCATAATAGCAAAAAGCACAAAGAAACAGCATAAGGCGAAACAAATCCTGTACACAGCCAAGTAGCCAACTTCTGATTCACAATCTGCTTGCCATTCCATATTCATACTGCTTTTGCAAAATGGGACCTGGGAAGAAAAATCATGATATAAATTGTTCATTTTTCATCATTCATCTCAGATCGAATATAAGTCAAAACTGTTCAGTTAACGTTTAGGGATTATGCTCCTATAATGGGCCACATTTGGAAAACTAGTCCAAGGTCATTCTCTCCACAGCAGAGTTACCAAGAGGATAATAGCAGTTGTGTATTCCATATTTCCACATGGACAGAACCTGGTAGTCACAGCTCATTAATTTTTATTTTTTCACCAGTAAGATAATAATGTCAAGTGTTTGCACATTGAGATATTTTTTCAGCTCTCTAAAGAATTTCTTGATATAGGTACTTTTAAATTCATGATGTAATCAATAACTAGGACTTTTCAGATCTTTCTAAATATTTGTAGAGGAAAAAATTTGTTAAATAAATTTTTTTATGGCAAAATAATGAATTCTTAAGGGTGGCTCATGAAAAATGTATCCTACTTCTATATTAGGTCAGGTTGAATTTTGTGATTTACAAAATTTTAGAAGTTTTACTGTACTTATAAGACACTTGTCCTAGCACCAAGAGACAACACTATGCTTGTGCGCGTAAATTAAAGGTCATATTTCTCCTCTATTAAGTCAAATACAATAGGTATTAGCACAACGATAGTACACTCAGGATATTCATACATGAGGAAATTTCATACTTTGAATCTGCGCTATCGACTGGTGGATAGACACAGAAAACATCTTCACCCACAATTGAAAAACCATTGCCATTCAAAATGCATAATAAAAATGTTGGTTTTTTATGCACACTTTTCTTGTAACTTATCAAATGCAACATTGACCACAACCCACCAGGCATCTAAGTAAGTCCCGTGCTTAATTCAGGGTTTTCATTTTTTGTGCATAAGAGATGTATATAGGAAGAATGTATACTAGTGGAATACTTGGTCTAGAGGACAGGTGATGAGAATATTCAACACCAAGAATAGATTATTAAGTTCATTTTTCTAAAACCTTATCAACAGAGTAAGGAAATAGACAAAGACTGAACAAAATTTACAACAAATGATAGAAGGAAATCAGGTGAGATGAGCAGCGAGGTCAGAAAAAGAAATTTCAGAAAAAAAAATGTTTAAAGTTTGGAATGATGAAAGAAAAAGTTTAAGACAGAAACAGGAGAGATAAAAAAATGACCATTGACAACCCTACTGAAAATAAGGAAGAATTTAAAAAAAGCTAAGAACAAAGTAAAGACAATTATTAGAGAAGCTCAAACTGATTCATCAGGAAGATTTATTGAAAGAATAGAAAATTTTAAATATATATACAGAACACAAACATTAGCCTACAAGGAAATGAAAACATTGAATAGTAGTGAAAGAGAATGTAAAAAATGAATGCAACTGAAAAGGAAATGTGGATTAAATATTGTAAAAACTTATGATACAACAAAAAATGTGAAATAATAAAAACATCTATAATTACAAATGCAGATAATCTAACAATAGATGAACTGCACTTAAGGAACATAAAACTCAAAAAGCACCAGGTGTGAATGGCATGAATACAGAACTATTAAAATACTCTGGAATGTTACTTCATCAACATTTGCTTCATTTCTTTAATATGTCCTGGAGACAAACTCCTAAGGAAAGATAACACATCTTTGAAAGAGACAGATTTGGATGAATGACCAAATAAATTTATATATATCTATGACACGATATCTAAAAAATAAAATACTGAAAGAAACAACAATAAAATTATTCAGCTGTGCTAGAGTTAGTGTATGGAGATGAAGCGAGATCGGCATCTAAAAAGGTAACTCTAAAATACAGGAAGGAGAGATGAAATTTTTGACAAGCACTCTAGATTATAACATCTAAGATTAAAAGAAAATACAGAAATAAACTTGGGGTTGAACCACTTCTGAAGAAATTGTAACGAAATGAGAAAAGATGGAATGAAATCTAGAAGAATGCCTAATAGGAGGCTACCAGCACTTGCATTGGATTATTGATCCAGAGGAAGAAGAGATGTAGGAAGGCAGAAGGAAGTGTACACCGGAACAGGTTCTAGAACCTAACCCTTTAAGTACAGAAGAAAAAGAAGAAGAAATTACTTTGTTTTGTAATTGCGTTGTTTTTCACACTTGTTTGTATGCATTTGTTGTGATTAAATGTGAGAATTCAATGTATATTTCAATACATAAAATTATAATTAATAATTTCAATAAATAAAATAGAATGAATGTGATTTCAATTTGGGGGGGAAAAAGAAGAAAAAAAAAATCAAAACATTTTAATGTGTTGAAAAAAATGCAGGGAAGTTTTCTTGGGTCTGGGGAAAATTTAACCAACCCTGAGAGTGATCAATTTTTCACAACACAAACCATCAAGAAAGGATGTTTTGAAGAAGAAAACATTTACCAGGCAGTAAAGCGTTCACTTCGGCAAACTACAGAAGTGTATTGTCAATTAAATTAATCTGATAGTTCTCATGTAGTCTGCCTAAGTTAGGCTGCTGATCTCATAGGTGAACAAAGACAAGAACACTAAATGAATTTACTCAATACATTGAGGAGCAAATGGGAGTATTTTAACATTAATATACCTTTTTAAGAGATTCTTGCAGACCTGGAGCTAACATCACACACCCTGCCACAGTTGCCAGAAGTAACATGATTGCATACATAATGCGAGTGGATGTAGAGTTACGACAACTTGGGCATGCTGAACAGCACAAGCCCATTGCTGCACTACCACAGCAACACGCTATCTGCAATTAGATACAAAAGATGATTTTAATTGTAATTTAATCTACAATAATGGTGTTATCCTTTGTTTACAAAACTTCCAGGATTTGTTTCTACTGAATTAACATGAATACAAATAAATCTGACTGTACTTCTTTACTTCTAAAACAATCAGAAAAAATTGGAAGAATAACTTTTTAATTTCGAATTACAATTCAATAGGAATTAAAATTTCACCTTTCTGTCAACAACCATACGATTATCAAATGTCAAAATTACCTGGGCAGCTGAAAACAGTGCTAAAACAGCCCCCATCTTGAAAAACGAGTGACAAAGATGTGTTCAGTCTCAAACACTCGACTTCTTAATTACATAAAGAAAAATAATACTCTAATTTGCAATAACAAGATCAACACAACGAAATGCGGAAATCCTTAGGGACCCCAGCAGACGATCTCGTCATTGGTGCAATCACTGCAGCTGTGAGCAGTGTTGCCAATACTTTAAATTCAGTACAGAAAATCGTGCCACTTTCTTTAGCGAAAAAAAAAGTGTTAGTACATATTATGGCCACTAGGATCGTAGTTTGATTTTAACCCTAGAACTATTGACTAACAATTTTTATCCATGCTAGATAGATTTAGATTTAAATTTATTTAGTCAAAAAACAGTAAAAACTGTAAGTAACGTATGGTAATGATAAATTTATCCATGCTAGATAACTTTTCCATGCTAGAACTCTAGAAGGGAAGGGGGGGGGTCGTTGAATTCACGTGTATTGATTTTGCTCATTAATCTCTCAAATTATTTTCATACTCTTAATTCCTTTTGAGTTATTGTCAATCGAAATTTGTATGACATTTTGCTTTTCGCTGTTAATTGAGCTAATATGGGTTGTTTCATTACACCATAAAAATGAAAAAATTGTTTTGGGTTCACCAACCCTCCCACTTCAGAGTTCACAGTACCAAATCCTTATTATGAAATGATATATACTTGGAAGTCCACGGTGCGGTACCAAATACTTATGAAATGTTATCAGTGTGCATGGCCCGAACACAGGAAACTGTTTATTCTATGGATAGTATTCTAGGAAGGAATATCAAGAATATAAAAATACATCAAGATTAGCCTCCTTCCGTCAATAGCAGGTGCCATACGTATTTGCACCTCCGAAGCAAACCAAACAAGAAAATAAGAATAGCTAGTTGTGCTACAAAATGGCACACACTTTCCCTTATTAGTTTATTTGCTTTGGTCTCGCCTAACTATACGAATTAGCCTCATTCTCTTGCCATTTATCACCTCCCAAATTACATTTTTTGAACGAAAATATTTTATGAATATTAAAAATGCAGTCCAAATTTGCAATTTTATTTTAAAAAATTGACGCCGTTCTTAAGAAAATGGCGCCTAAACACTTTTTGCGCACGAGTAGAAATAACTACAGCCCTAAATAAGTCGGGTTATACACTAGTTGTTAGAGACCGTCGCGCAGTATTGCGAACACCTCTGTAGGTTGTAATTTTGAGGGCTTTCTTCAACAAATTTGTTACTCCAATAAAAAATCTCCAAAAATTATTGCTACAAAAATTTGTGGAAAATCCAAGTTTCACTTAATATTTTGACAATTTTTATGTAATGAACCTTAATAGCAAACCTAAGGCCACTTTCTCCACACCACAATTCCTCTTTTACAGAGTTTTGATTGTATATATTGTTTTATAGTGGTGCTACAAAATGGCAGACTTTCCCGTATTAGTTTTCTATTTCCTTTGGTCTCCTATTTGGCTGCTTATTCTTTTGACAGCTGCCATCTGTCGCCACCCAAAGTACTTTTTTTGACATTTTCCTAATTTTTCGGATTTCTAATTGTAGAGCGGAAATATTATATTTAGATTATTAAAAAACAGTAAACCCTCGACCTAAATGGCAATTTAAAAAAAAATGCAGCCGTTTTTAAGAAAATGGCCTTAAAGCGCTTCTGTAAATTCGAAACTCGAAGCGTTTTTTCACAGTATTTTTAGTTTTCGAAAATCTTCATTTGAAGTCATATTAATAATTAAACTCACAACAACAATAGTGTTTATAAATTGTTGAAAATGTGCATATCAAGGTGTGAGAGACATTTCAAATCATATTATAAAGTGGAATTAGCACACACCATTTGAAATATCTGAAGAAAAAAATTGGGGCCGTTTTTGAGAAAATGGCGTTAGAGCATTTTTGAAAATACGGATTTTTGATTTAGTTTTCACAGAAAACAGTTGTTTTCGAGAAACGTTATATGAAATTATTTAAAGCAGTTGTATTCATAAATACGATAATGTGAGCAAATTGCAACTAATATAGATATTAATGACTTGAGAGACAAGTCAAAAAATAATTTTCTGTAATTTTTGAAAAAAACAAAAGGAAAGCGAAATATGGCGTTATGTCACCTATAGAGTACATTTAGCATTATCACTGCCAAAAGTTTAAAGAAAAGCCGTTTTTGAGAGAATCTTGTTTTCGGAATTTTTAAAAATTGCGCTATTGCTCGCAATATTGTTCGAAAACTACTAAAATTTTCAAAAAATGTGCATGTCCTAAGAAGTCACTATGGAAAACATATTTTATTTAAAATTAAAAAATGTGTCTTCAATTTTTTAATTGTAAGAAAACGTCCGAACATTTTTGAAATTTTCAAAAATTCAGAGTTATTAGTGGAACTCGGACCTATGCCACCAAGATAAGTGTATTTTACTCTATTCTTACAAGAAATGTAAAGAAAAAAATTGGAAAAGTTTTTAAGAAGATTTTGAAAATGTTTGGGTGGCTTCATGTAAAGAACCTCCAAATTTTAAAGTTTTTTTTTCTAAATCTGAAAGATTCGACTCGAGCCAGATAGGAATTTTTAGGAAAAACTACTACGTATGGTTTAGGAGCAAGTGGTGTTTGCAGACGGACAGATAGACAGTCAGACAGACAGACGGGCATTTTGGAAAAAAACAACAACAAAAACAACAACAACAACAACAACAACAACACTTTTTAGTTACCAGGGGACCCCAAAATGTGTATTTCCGTTGAAATCTCGAAATCAATTTTTCGAACATTATACAACTTTCCGTATACTACGTATATTGCTCTGTATATACGTACGAGTACGGGAAAGTAAAAATACAACCATCTGAGCACACCGATGGTGTATTGTTTACGGATATTTTAATTTTTTTTGTTTGCAAAGTACATCTGTCAGTAATTGTAACTATACATAAGTATTAAAAGACTTACTAACTATACTCAATTGTAAACTTACATACTATTAGAAGGGAGAGGAATTCTAGTTAAGGGGTCCTCAGTCAGGATCTAAATCAGTAAATTTGTTTAGGATTTTGGACTTTACAGGACTTTGGAATAAATGTGACATGGCACTATCTTGAAGCATCATCGCATGAAAAAAATACTTGTAATGGAATAGGCGGGACTTAACACACTTGCTGCTCTTGCAAACCTGTCGATGCCAAATACAGATCAGATCACTACTCCCACAGAACTATTTTCATAGACAAAAGAAAATTTGAAAAATATAAATGTTGTTTAGATAACGAAAGAACAATATGAACAAGAAGCTAGGACTTAGAAGGAAGATTTTCAAGAGCGTTTGCTCATATTACGCACAAGTAAATTAAATTGTTTTCTCCCTCTAAAAAAAAGTGTTCTGCTTTCAAAGTCACTCTTAAGTTGTGAAAAATCATAAAAGCACTACATCTTGAGATCTTAACTTCGAAAATAGAGATGTCAAGTGTAAGTACCAATTTTTTAGTTAAATTTCCGTTCCGAAAACGCTTGCTATTATTATTATTATTATTATTATTATTATTATTATTATTATTATTATTATTATTATTATTATTATTATTATCATCATCATCATCATTTCTTAGACAACTGTACATTAAACCTCTCTTTTGAGGTAAAATAGCTGATCTGATATTATTTATATTGGAGGATGGTTCAGCCACATTCATGTGATTTCAGTGTACATTAGACTTTAATATTGGAAGTAGCAACGAGTAGGGTTTCAAGATTTCCGTTACATTCATGAGACGCATGTCGTGTTCCAATAATATGTAACTCCTGATCCCATTCTCATCCCAAATTCGAACTTTTTATACAGTTTTTATATAAGTTGAACTTTAAAATATATATTTTCGTTATTTTAAAAATATGCATTTCCCTTAAATAAATTTTAAAACATGTATTTTGAAACCTTCTAAAAATATATTTTTTCTTCTTCAAAATGTGTCAGAATTATTAATTTATAATTATTATTTTAATATTAATTCATAAGCTTTAAAATGATATATGAACAAATATTTAACTTTGAAAATGACTGAAATAATGCACTTTTTGTTTAGTAATGCGTGCAGTAATTTCGCGTATATTCCGATCTTCATATCATTATAAATGGCAATCTATAATTGCTGCAATATCCATAAGTGGCCATTTTATATATTTTAAGCGGTACATCAAAAACACAAAGTTTGGAAAATATCTGAAAATTTCGGGGTTGAGACCCTTCTTGATTTGAGGTGGAATGACCCTGCTGCAAAAAGTCAGCTTTTTCAAAAAGGTCATATACAATTTTATGAAACAACGGGATTTCGCCTAATTAGTGTCTGAAACTTACGTAATTTCTAAAAAAAAATATTTTCTCAACATCGCTCCAATTTCTGCTATAATTTTTCTCCCCATACATAATAAGGGTCGGTAAAAATATGGTGCTAGACCCATTTTCGACGAATTTTCTGAATTTTTGAAAAAAAATATTTCAAAACTACATAATCAAAACGGTTTTTTGTGTTAAAGAAAGCCTGTTGTAAAATAATCAGGTCTTAAAAAAATGTCATGAACAGTTTTTCGGAAAAAAGAGTGAATTTCGCGTATTTGGTGACTGAAATCAACGCTATTTCTAAACAGTACACACATATTTTCTCGCATTATTTCTAACTGCTTCTTTATATTAAATTACTACATGAACATGCAAAAATGCTTTCAACCAGGAAAAATTATTTTTTGCGACGAGACTCGGACTCAGGTCCTTCGAATTAATATGGCGCTACCTTTACCACTACTCTGCAGAAGAAACGCAGAGAACGAATTTCGACCAACGCTTGAAAATGTAATTGTGTCAGCGCAACATTTTACAACACGTAATTGTTTGCAATTTTTGCAAATACGGAGATATTGTCGAAAAAGGGACTAGCACATTTTTTATTTCTTTGCCCATGCGAAGGTACTTCTGAAGAAGAGAAATGTAATCGGCGCTGGAAAACGATGAATTTTCGTCAGAAAAACAATTATTGTCGGACCCTGGTAACTAAAAAGTGGATAAATTCAGTTGCTAATAATTATAGAAAAACTAAGGACACAGACTTTCTCGCACTTGTTAGTTTTCCAATCTTGTTAGTCTGTACTAGCTTTTCCATTAGGCCTTATTATCTTACCTGCTGCCTT